TTGTTTTTTTCTCCGGTACCGGGAACCGAACTCACGACCTTGCGCTTGCCAGGCAGGCGCTTTTGCCGCTGAGCTAAATCCCCAGCCCCTCTTCTGCTAAATTTGATGCTACCTTTTACTGGATATTGACATGAATAAGCAATTACAAATGCCAAAGTTTGTGTTTTTGTTTTTGAGCCAGGGTCTTGCTATGTAGCCTAGGCTGGCCTTAAGCTCATGGTACTCCTCCTGTCTCAGCCTCCTGAGTGCTACCTTTACAGATGTGTGTCATCATGCCTGGCCATCTCAAAGATCTTTTTAAAAATTATGGAAAGAAACACTTTTTGAAAAAATTCTAAGTGTTTCTGCAAATTTAAAAATTACAACTATTATTGTGATCAAACACCAAGGTTCTCCAGGAAAATGGCTTAAAAGCCAGTGTGTCAGGACATACTATTTCTGATTTAAGGAGATATCTGTATTAACCCTAGGCTACTCAAGCCCAGGGTGTTGCCAACCTTTATGGGCTACTAATGTAGACAATGTGTTAACCAAAGGAGCCTCTAGAAAGATTATTCAACCAGCTCACCCAAGAGTCCACACACTCCTAGCACAGTTACCTGCAGGATTCTATACCCTTGATGAAAATCCTAAAAGTGACTGGCTCTTGCTCCAGGCACCTGACAGCTTATAAAATGAATAAGGGCCTATGTACCAGCACCCTCAGGTGAACCATCATGTTGGAACTGGACACAAGAGAAGATAAAAAATAAAGGTACCTCCAGAGTTGCACCTTCGAGCAATCTCCCAATATACTAGCCCAAGGGCATAAATATCAGCACATTTAAAGGAGTCAAAGTGTTTCATATTAATGGTTTCATCAAGTACTTCAGGAGCCATGTATCTGCAGCAACAAAGAAGAAAACAGTTACACATAACCATCACGACTGCTCTCTTTCAACCAAACAGTGATTCTGGGGCCCTCTGAATGTGGGAGCGTTTCCCCAGTGTGGTCCCTTGGGGAGAAGTGAGTACTTCTCTTCATGTTTTGGATTTGAATCTAAGTAATTAGATTCAGCACAGATTTGGCAATACTAGGCTACTCCATGTGTGTATTTATTTTTTAACCATCAAGAGTCTGTCTTGAGCTCTTGGCAGAGGTACATGCACTTGGGCCACATAGGCAGTAACAGTACATAGTATCTGGCTACTACTGGGGTCTTTCACTTTAGTCAATGTAGCCAGTGGGCAGACTAAGCTTAAATTTCCTTCTAAACTTCTTTCATTATTTTATCTGATTGCAGATAGGTGAAAATCCTACAGGTGACCAAAGTCACCCTTAGTGATTCTGCATAGTAATTATGAGTAATTATTACTCAAGCCACACCCATCCCAATAAATGAGATCACCTCAGCCCTAGACCCTAGGTAGTTGCAATCATGCAGATTTAGGACAAAAACAGCAGCATAATTCAGTGAAATTCACTTATATTCAGCACAAAGAACCCCTTTTCTGTCCTACTCAAAGACAGTCCTATTTCTAACTCATGAAGTTACCCACAATTCTTTTTTTTTTTTTTGGTGGTACTGTAAATGGTACTCAGAGCCTTTACACTGGTATCTCCAGCCATTTTTTTGTGTGTGGGGGCGGTACTGGGAATCGAACTCAGGACCTTGCTCCTGCCAGGCAGGCGCTTGTGCCACTGAGCTATATCCCCAGCCCCCATATTTGCTTTTTGGACAGGACTTTGCGAAGTTGCCCAGACTGGGCTTGAACATGATATTCTCCTGCCTTAGCTTCTCAAGCAGCTAGGGTTATAGGCAGAAGCCATCACACCTGGTGATTCCCTCTTTCTTCACTTCTCAATGAAGCAGGAAGCAGGCCTACAATCCTTGAGGGCACTCCAATCCACACCCAAGATTAGCTCTGCTCAGGTCTGGCAAACTTGGTTACTACACTCAAAACGGAACACACTCCCTGTCTCTTTGGGTCTCTGCACAAGTCACACCTTTGGACTGCAGTATTTCCCCTCCTCTTAACCAAGCCTTCTGCCTACCTCTCTCCCAAATCCTGCTCTAGATTCTTTCTCCCAAGTCCTTCCACCTTGAATCCACCAACACCTGTGTACATGCAGCGAAGCAGTGTTTTGGCACATCAGTGACATGTAACCTGTAGCTTTCCAGTGTGGGAAGCAGGGTCCACGAGCCAGGAACTGTATCTCTTTCTATACTTTCTCCTGAACATACTCAAAAGGCACACATTCGATACTCGGTACTTCCCAGCTGAGTAAGAGCAGAAGCCCCGGGCATTCCTACCGTTTGGTTCCCACCCTCTGATTTGGAGCAATGTCAATGGTGTCAGTGACTGCATCATGGCGAACTGCCAGGCCCAGGTCTGCGATGGCACACATGCCATTTTTCTTCACCAGGATATTCTTTGACTTTAAATCTCGATGAGCAATTCCAGGCTTCCCTGGCAGAGGAAAAATCAGGGATCTTTAAAAAAAGATGTTGTAACTGTTAAACGCATAAGCTGAAGACAGATTGTGAGTTTGAGTCCTGGCTTTGTCTCCTACTAACCCAATGATCCCATGTGTATCTCAGTTTTTTCATCTACAACATCAGAATGATAGTACCTACTTCTTGGAAATGTTGTACAGAGTAAATGCTTCATGCAGGTCAGTAACGACCTTAGAAGAACATGAATATTAGCTAACATTACTAATACTACTATTGCCATTTGCACGCCCTGAACAGCTTGGATATAAGCTGCTAAAGAATTCAAAGAAAGCTCTTACACTGGACGGTCCTAAAGATGTGGATTGCTAGTAACAACACATGGGCTAAAAGAGAATCTAACTGTCTTGGGTGGTTCCCTATTGTGCCCAGCAAGAACCACTGCCCTGATCAAACAGGCACTAGGGATCACACTTGTCACGATAGCAAGATCCTGCACCTCTCTAAGAGCCAACATTGTAGTCAATACTCCGGTCTTCTTCCTCTAGGAAAACCTTCTGAGACTAGTATATACCCAGTGTCTCACCACATGTAGTCTGGAAGTCAGCTGTCCCCAACAACAAATGTATGAAAGTGACTAAAAGACAGTTTATCATTTTGGTTCCTTTTTTTTTTTGGTGATATTGGGGATCGAATCCAGGGCCTTGTGGGTGCAAGGCAAGAGCTCTATCACTGAGCTACACCTCCAGCTCCTTGGGTCCATTTTTTTACATGCCTGCTGTGGGCATCTGAGATGATTATTCCTTAATAAATAAAGATGTTACACCATTGACAAATAACTAAACACTGACCTTACAGACTTTCCCTGAGGGAGTTCTAAAGACAGTGATGGGGAGATTACCCTGTATACCTTAGTTCTCAAATCTCTTTCCTTTGGATTAAGCTGCAGCTCCTGAGGTCCATCCCCGACTTTCTCAGTGACAAGGATGTACAGCCATTTAGTCTACCCAACTTCCCTGCTCCCCGGCAGGTCTACTCACCTTGAGTGCCCACGATCTCCATATGCAGGTGTGCCAACCCACTGGCAGCAGACAAAGCCAGCTTAATCATGCCCTCAATGGTTACCGTGTAGCGGTTAAGATAATCAAACAGGGAGCCATGCTCATGATAGTCAGAGACAAGCCACAGCTGTGTCCAGGTGCCATTATCTGAAGAGAACACAGGCGAGTCCCAGAAAAGACATTAACTATCAGCAATGAGGAAGCATGTCTGCAGCATGAGATCCAGCCACTCCCTCGAGTTTACCTTTCTCGCTTCTCCCTTCCTGATGCCCCTGGGGCCCTCTCATCTACAGTGGTCTGCAGTTCAAGGCTCCAGTGAGGACACAGCGCTTCTTTCTTAGGCCTGCTCCCTTGTTTCTTTTAGGTGGGCTGTAGGACTCTGAGCCCATTCTTATTTTTTGGAGACATGGTCTCACTATGTGTTTTAGGCTGACCTTGAACTCACCACCACGTAGCCTAGGCTGGCCTCAAACTCAAGACAATCCTCCTGTCTCAGACTCACCAGTGCTGGGGTTACAGGCCTGCCACCACTGCACCCAGCTAGCAGTCCATTCTTCTGCCGCATTTGAAATGTGAGGTGTTCAGGAATGAGAATGTATACACTTAGAGGAAGTTAAGAGGTATCAGTTTTGTTGCAACACTGCTTCTGATCCGAACAAGACTGTTCACCGATGTAAGAAAACCACAGCAGGCTGCACCCACCACAGCTGAGGAAAGCCTTGAAAACCTTCCTGGGCTCTGGAGACCTTTTGAACACAGTCCAATCACAACACCTGTCTCATTTGTAATGTTTCTTTTCATTCTGTTGTTCTCATCAGCATCAGGCCAAGAACTCTATGACAGCAGGTACGATCTCCTCTATGCATTATTGCATTCCGGGCCAAGAAAGTGCTTTTCAGTGCATGGAGAGTCTATTTCCAAGTATTACCAAAGAGGCATCTTACCCAGAGCAAGGCAAGGTGGGTAGCATACACTTTACTTTCTTGCTTTTATGCATGAGGCAGCCGGAAGGAACAGGGAAGAGAGGGAAGCAGGGAAAAAGAAAAAGGAAACATCAAAGCCGATAATCTAATTAAGCTATGCTGCTATCAGCAGGCACACTGGAAATTGGATTGAGAGTTCCTAAATGCTAGGCTGGTGCTGGTTCCAGGGCGCGATGCTAAATATACCATGGTAAGAGGGCAAGAATGAAGGAGCCCAATTTCTCTCCTTCCCTGGTTCTAATGCGGGTTTCCACAGCCAGATTCCTAATCATACAAGTTGCCAGAATCAATAATGGGAGTGGCTGCTAGAAATAAATAAATGTTGGCTTCTCTAATCACAAACAAGGGGCCCATCCAACCTGCTACTCTCCATACTTCAAGCAGCCACTAAATCCTGAGGACCCTATTAAAAAGTTAAAAGGGAACAATTTTTATTTTGATGCTTTCAAATGTATGATTTAAATTTTATCAAAAGGTAATGCTGCTTTAAAGAGGAGCAGCATGCAGGGCATGGTGGTGCACACCAAAATCCCAGCACCTCAGAAGCTGAGGCAGGAGGATTGCCTTGAGTTCGAGGTCAGCCTACACTACGTAGTGAGTTCAAGGCCAGCCTGGACTACATAGTGAGACCCTGTCTCAAAAAAAAGAAAAAAAAAAAAAGAAAAGCAGCTTACTTAGGGGGAGTAAAACATTCTTTCCCTTCCCCCCTCTTTGTACAAAAGTCTAAGACTTCAGCTGGGGTAGCTGAGGTTGTCACCAACCCCCACAGCAATGCGAGGAATGAGCAGTCGCTGTTGTTTTAGGAACAAAAAACAAATACTTAGCATCTTCTACAGGCTCTACAGACATTTACTTCTAAGTCACTGAGCCATGGAGCAAGTGGTGTCACAGCTGCCAGACTCTCTAAAATGTGAGCCCCATCCCCCCAGGGTCCTCTGCACTCCAGGTCACCTGCCTGCCCCCTCCTTCTGAGGGGCTCTGTGAAGGCAGAAACTGTGTCTTGTTTTACGTGCAAGGGTCCTAGTAATGGCAAATGTTCCGGCCCACAGTGGTCAAGAGATGCTACTGAGTTAATGAATGAGATTCTGATTACTATCATTATCTTCAGGAATAAAGTACAATCCTCTCGAAAAAATCCGTCATTCCTGGCCTCTGCCTACCTCTCCATCCATCTTTTGCAAGGACACAGCCACTCTAAGTTTCCTGCAGGTTACACACCTCACCTCCGCGCATCTCTGCAAGGCCCTTCCCACTGGTTTCACTTCCAGACCAATTCATGCCACCTTGGGCTCAAAGAAGCCCAGGTGTGACGCACTTGTAATTACGAGAAGCGCCTGTCATTGCCTCCTATGATCAACCGTTGGTTTACTAGTCAGTGAGGTCCTCAAAGTAGGCATGTGCCTCGGTATGGAGAGACTCAAGACTGTGGCAAGAAAGGAGGGCAGAAGAGCAAGAGGTAAGAGACCTCAGGTATAGATATACCAGACCAAACACCGGGCCCAGTGACTGTAAGTGACACTCTGGGGATAGGGGCATCCTCATTCTCCCATACCTGCTCCTCTCACAAGTGTATAGACTGCTGGTCACGTCACAGAAAGTGAACTGCATGCTTTTCCATGGCTGTCGTTTTTTTGGCAGACATGAGGACACAATTTCTCATTCTAGCAATTTTTAAAATATGTCAGGCATGGTGCCTGAAATCCCAGCACTTGGGAGGCTGAGGCAGGAGGATCACTGTGAATTCAATGCCAGCCTGGGCTACAGTGAGTTCAGGCCAACCTGAACTACATAATGAGAGACCTTAGTTTCAAAAAACCAAACCAAACCAAACGAAACCACCATCAAAAAAACTAAATGAGGGGCTGGGGATTTAGCTCAGCGGCAAAAGCGCCTGCCTGGCAAGCGCAAGGTCGTGAGTT